CCAACCTACAAAGAAAAGGAACCTCAGCACCAAACTGTGCAAGACACAGAACACCACCACAAACAAGTTTACCGAAACTACAGTGAGAATAACAGATCTACTAAAAGACTGTTAAACTGGATTCCTTAAAGTTATAAAGGGAAAAATATTCCAGAGAGAAGATAAAACAGAATTTATGGAATCCTTTACTACCTTAAAAATTGAATACAGATGGCAAGTCTTAAAAGAAATTTTATCTACCTACAAGGGAAAGACTTTATTGAAAAGAATAAATCACAAAAAGAAGAAAAGAACTAAGCCCTATAAATAAGACTGGTTTAGGGAGCCCTTGTTTATGTGCAACTGACTAAGATGGGCTGGGGAATATCTAACCCCTTTTTTCATATATACATTCATTTAACTGCAAAGTATAAAATTGGTCCAGGAAATCTTTATACATGTGTAACTGATTAACATTGGTTATAATTGAGTTTGTTTTTCTATACATTTACAAAATTATAGCCCATATTAAAAATATTCAAGGGAAGATTAGTTTTAAGTGTTTTAGAAAGTCTTATAACAGATTATATAAATTATAAGAGAATAAATTGTATTTAAAAATTAGCCTAGAGAACCCTTATGAACATTTATTTGAATAAGATTGATTAGAGACGTATGTTTAAAAACTTTAACTCATATTTAGGTAAGGCTTATAACAGAGGATAGCATAGATTATAAATTTATAAAGGTATCAAGGTCTTAATCGGATATAAAAGGTGTTATATCTTATGAGCTTGTGCAATTGGGGTAGATTGATTAGGGAATATAGGTATGCTTAAAAACTTTATTAAATGGAAGAATATTTTAAAATGTGTAAGCAAGGCTAATATTAAGAATTCAGTTTAAGCTAAGAGGTAGGTTAGAGATTTTTTTTTGGTGATGTTAAAACAATTAGAACAAATAGAATGAGAAAAGAATTTGGGGAATTGTATAGATTTAGTTAATATCTAAATGTATGTTATAGAAGATTATTGTAGAATGCTTAGTGTTTAAACAGAAGAAACATGTTTTGTTAATGTTTCAAAAATTATAGACCTATGTGCTTATGAAATTTAAACATATACTTATATCTGGATTTATAGAAAATGGTAATGAAATGGTTTTGACAGCACTTAAATATTAAAAAGAGTGTAGTGTTTAACATAGGCCTGCAAAGTTATTAGTTGGCTATATGGTTGAAAGATTGGCAATTAGATATATATGTAGGAGATAGTTTAAGAGATATAATATTGATTTTATTACTCTCATCTATGTTTGTTTATCTGTCTACTTGTTTTGTTTAAAATAATACAAACCATTTAAAAATAAATAAATAAAAAAAGAATCTCTAAGGTGGGATATAGGTTTAATAAATAATACAGGGGATGAAAGGGATCTTGACTGCACTTGACTTGTCTGTCCAACCAATGAAAGTTTTCTGTTACTGGCCATTAAAACTATCAGGGCTGCTAACAGCTGCCAAAGGTCCCCAGACAAGGGTTACCTCTACCCCCTTGCCATTACTGAGTCCCAACCCAAACACTGTGTGAAATGTCAGGTGGCATGACTTGCCCATCGCCATGGTCCCCAGAGTGAGCAAGGCCCCTGGATTTATTTATTTACTTATTGATTTATTGTCCACCTTTCTTGCTGAGACTTAAAATGGATTGTTTAGATCTGTTCCAATCTGGTTTCAGGCTTGGTTATGGGGCTGAAATGGCCTTGGTTGCCCTGGTGGATGGCATATGCCAGGCGATGGACAGGAGGAATGCGACACTGTTAAGTCTCCTGGACTTCTCAGTGGCTTTTGATACCATCGATCATGGTATCCTTCTAAATCACCTTTCGGGACCGGGAGGCACTATTCTGAGGTAGTTATGGTCCTATCTCAAGGTAGGTTTCTGAGCGTGGACTGGGGGACTGCTGCTCTGTCCTTTAATCTTTGGCCTATCAGGTTTCCCAAGGTTGCATTTTGTCCCCCATGCTTTTCAACATCTATGTAAAGCTGCTGGGAGAGGTCATCTGGAGATTTTGGCTAAGCTGACACCAATATGCAGATGACACTCAGTTCTATTTCATGCTACTAGTGGTTCCAGGGAGGCTGTTGAAATTGCAAACAGGTGCCTGACATAATCCTGAGAAAACAGAAGTTCTACTGGTAGGGGGAAGGTCTGACCTGGGAAATGGGTTATCCCCTGTTCTGGATGGGGTTGCACTCACCCAAAGGAGGAGGTTCATAGCTTGGGGGTGCTCCAGGACCCAGGCCTCCTATTGGATAAACAGGTGGCAGCGGTGGACTCAGGGGTGCCTTTCAGCAGCTTCAGATGGTGAGCTAGCTGAGGCCCTTTCTAGGCAGAAAAGATCTTGTCACTGTGGTGCAATGCACTCTACTTGGAGCTGCCCTTGATAACTGTCTTGAAGCGACAGTTTGTATAGAATGCTGCGGCCAGAGTGTTGATTGGAGTGAGTCATACAGACCGTATCACTCCAGTTTTGTTCTATCTATACTGGCTTCCAATTTGCTTCCAGGCTCAATTCAAGGTGCTGGTATTGACCTTTAAAGCCCTGTACAGCCTGAGATCAATATACCTTAAGAACTGCCTTCTCCCATACAAGCCTGTCCACTCACTCCAGTCATCCTTGGAGCCCCTGCTTCAGTTGCCCCCGCCATCTGAGGCTATACGGAGTAGCAGCCTGAGAAAGTGCCTTCTCTGTTGTGGCACCCAAACTGGAACTCCCTCCCCAAGGAGATTCATCTGTCTCCCTCTACTGATGTATTTTGCCAGAAGGTGAAGACTTTTTTGTTTCAACTAGCAAACCCCAAGTAACAGTTATTGGCCCTCCTTCTAGTGTTGTCGTTTATGTGTTTTAAACTGAATTGTATAATTTTAATTGTATAAATGTTTTAACATTCATTGCCTTGTGGACCCTGATTGGGTAGAAAGGTGACATAACAATTTGAAGCACAAATCTGTGCCCCATGCACTCCCAGGGCCAAAGAGGGAACACACAGTCAGAGACCAGTGAGTAGGATATCTGTTTATTGCAATAACAGGAGACACAGAACTGGATACCAAGGCACCCAGTGTTACCAAGCTGTTCTCTAGCCCAAACAGGAAGGGCAGCAAGGTCTTATACCCAAAATGACATCACAGTAGTTTACAACCCAGGAAATACACAATTGGTTTCAAACAGGTATCATTTGAGCTGGCATCCTTCCATTGGTGTACCCCAATACTGGCTAGAATTAAAGACATTTGCATTTGTTTATCTGACCTAGAGACATTAAGGCACATTAAGGACTTCTTCTGGCATCTTTCAAGGCCCTTTGCATCTGTATAGACAGGGAGTTTTCCTGATAAGGTGTGATATCTGACACAGCTTTTGCCTCTTGACAGACATCCTGGTGCCTGGCATTACAAAGAAGGATGCTGTTTGGGAACATCCAGAGCCTCTGAGATGTTATTCTAATACATAGCACTGGGCCATAAATGTCCATCAGAATCATTAAACAAAGGAGATTGCAGTTAACCAAATGGTTTCAATTTTAAGCACATTCCATTCTCCCTGCTTCCTGAGTGAGCTCAAGTTCTTTTACATCAGTTTGGTGTAGTGGTTAAGTGCACGGACTCTAATCTGGGAGAACCAGGTTTGATTCCCCACTCCTCCACTCGCACCTGCTGGATGACCTTGGGCAAGCCATAGTTCTGGCACAGCTGTACTTTGAAAAAAGAGCAGTTTCTGTCAGAGCTCTCTCAGCCCCACCTACCTCACAGGGTGTCTGTTGTGTGGAGGGGAAGGGAAAGGAGCTTGTAAACTGCTCTGAGACTCCTTTGGGTAGTGAAGGGTGGAGTATAAATCCAATCTCTTCTTCTATGCACAAACAGTATTGCTTTTCTAAAATCTAGCTATATTTTCTACCACATGGCATGCAACTCTTTTAGGTAAAGGTAAAGGTTCCCTTGCTCGAAAGCCAGTCGAATCCGACTCTAGGGTTGCAGTGCTCATTTCCGTGGTCAGGTGGCCGGCGTGACTAAACACCAAGGCGCACGCAACTCTTTTATCTGTCTATTAAACTAGGTTCATGGATTAACTGATAAATATATGTCTACTACATGAATATAGTCACTACAAGCATGCATATACATCACGGAGGTAACAGAAAGGAATGAAAATCAGATTCATTAATCCCTTGTCCCACAGAAACAATGTAATAAAAACCAGTATAATATGTACAATAAAACTGGACTACACAGTTAAAGAACAATGAAATAAAAACAGCACAATATTCAATAAACTGGATTACACAAGTAGAGAAGAAAGACAGACAATACAATATATCCAATAAACAAAGCACTATAAAGGGGTTGGAAAAGAAAGCTGCCTAAAAGTTTCTCAGGCAATCAAGATTACAACCCTATTATAGCAATTACCCTCCTTAAAAATTACTTTTTACCACATTCTGTTTTATAAAAATGCTCTTGAGAAGAATTCTATTTTATACGTTCGGTGGATCCATAAGTAAGGGAGCCTTTCCGGGCCCCTCAGGCAGACCATTCCACCAGGTAGGAGACACAGATGTCTTACTCTTCGGAGCACTGCTCGCACATTTATTTATCTAGCACACTAAGCTCGAAAAGCCACTCCTCACGTTTGAGCCTCCCGCCGCCGCTAGCACCACATGTATGGGGGGGGGGGGGGGAGGGGAGCAGCCAATTGAACTTCGTGCCTTTCGGACCCAGGACGTTGCAAGAAGGAGGGGCCATTTCTCTCCACACCAGACTGAAGTAGAAACCCTTCAGCAGGTTTGCGGCTTTGGTTGCATTACCCGCTTCTCCCTTTGGTTTCGTGACGGAAGTCCAGGTTTCGCAGAAAGTGAAACCAAGAGGGACCGGGGGATGCCGCACCGCAGGGGAGGTGTCAATTCAAAATAAACAGGCGAAGCCCCCACCCGCGTGGGCGTGGGCGGTGCGTGTTTTGACTCCTCCTCCTCCTCCCCTGCTGCCTCGTTGAGCCTGACGGCGGCGTGGGCCAGGAGCGACCCATATGGCCCGGGCTCCAGGGCTGGTTAGTCAACTCCTCAGCCCCACCGGCGTGAGTCAGAGCAGGCTGGCCTGGGCCTGAGGAGGCAGGCAGGGCGCAGGCTGGCCATGCTCGCCAGGCAGCGGCGTCGCCTCGAGCCTTCAGGCACTTTCGTCGCGCTCCAGAGGCAGCAGCTCCGCTCCGCGTCGCGCCCTCCGCCGCCGCCTCCTCCTCGTGCTCGCCCCCGCCGCTTGCAGTCTTCGCGGCTCTACCCAATAGTTACTCGGTAATAGCAGCCGCCGCAGCAGCAGCTCCCCCTTCCATGGAGCCCAGAGCCGCCCGCGACGGGAGCGGCAGTAGCAGCAGCCCGGAGTTGGGCCGGGGCAAGCGGCTGAGCGTGGGGGAACTGCGCTCGCTCTTCGAAGCTCGTTGCGCGGCGGCCAGCGAGCAGTTGCCCGAGCCGCCCAAGAAGAGCTGCCGGCCTCGCAATGGGGTGCTGCAGCCAGTTATCCCGCAGCTGACGGTCACCCCGGAGGAGGACGGCGAGGAGGCCCAGCGCAGCCCGGCCGGTGTCCCCCAGGCGGAGCCGGACGGCGCCTGGCTGACGACGGACAGCTCGCGGCGCCTCTCCACTTCGTCGCTCTCCTCCACCGGCTCGTCGTCTCTCTTCGAGGACTCTGAGGATGACCTGTTGAGCGACACGGAAGGCAGGAGCCAGGGCATCGTCCACCTGGAGCACGGCGAGGAAACCCACCAGGTACCGGTCCGCGGCTGCCGCTGGGAGCGGGCGTGGAGGTGAGGGGCCACCCGCTGACCGCGCGGCGTGTGGTCGGCACTCGTCCCTTCTGGGTGGCAGGTGTGGCGCCGCGGGGACATCCCTAGTCGGTTCTGTCGGTGTCTTTGCCTTGAAACTTTATAGCAAGTTGACAAGACTTTTAATTTGATCGGAGCAGGGAGGCTGTGAGGGAGGGGAAGGTTAATTCTCCATCCCTCGTGCCGCTTCCACCATCTGAAGCTGCAGTCATGTGTGCGTTTACCTGGGAATAAGCCCCGTGGAATTCAGCGGGATTTACTTCTGAGTAAGCTTGTATAGGATTCGACTGCTCATGTTCACCTTCTCTGGAAAGTGCTGTTAGGTCTGCGTGGGGAGAGTGGGAGGGTGGCAACTGTAAAGAGTGACATTGCTCTCCTTCCACTGGTGCAGTTTTCAGAAGGCCTGGAAAGTAGAAGAAATCCGTAAGTGCCTTCTACTTCCAGTTTATATGATCCAGCCCAGTTGGCTGATCTAGCCTATCTCTAGTGTGGCCAGGTAATCAGGGGTGTGGTAGTTTTTTCATAATGCTGGGGAAAGTCATTGTGGTGTATTGGTTAGAGTGTTGGATTAGAACTGAAGGGACTTGGATTGAAATTCCCATTCATTTGAGTGGCCCTGTGCAAGTCCCTGATTTTCCTGAGATTGGTTGGAGGCTAGGCTGGAATTAATTTTGCTCATCTTTAAAGTGTGACTGGATCTCCTTTTCATTCATCCTTTGAAAGCTTTTGTGTGGCTAAATAAGAAACATGTATGCTGCTCCTGGAAGGAAGGGTGAATTGTTTTTTTTAATGTAATGGGATTTTAGATACTTAGAAGTAGTGTACAAGAAATAATACATCACTGCCTTATTTTACTTGTACTATCTTGCAGTAGTTTGTGGTTTAGGGACTGTTCATAGGACTTTCATGTATTAGGAAGAGATGTCAGATCTGTCAGTGGGCAAGGTAGTAGTTCCTATATGACTTACATGGGAGTGGGTTACAGTTTACATTATGATTCTTGAACTTTTTATGCTGGTGAAGCTATTTACCAAGGGTTGCATGAAAATTCAATTGCTTCAAAGAAATTGCTTTAAAGAATAGCTAGAGGCCTAGTAATGCCTATACTGGCAACAATTATGGGAACACTTATATCAGCTTCCATGATCTTGGGTGTTGTGCCCAATATTATCAGTAATTGCCCAGTTGTCACATTAACTTTTTACTGTCTTAGTAGAGGTCCAAGGAACATCAGTACTGATCAGAGAAAGAGGAGTGACCCTTAAGTAGTGATCCTGAAATATAGTGGAGTTTTCTTCCAAGTAAATTTGCTTGAGGGTGGCACCCTGATCTTAAACACACATGATTGAAATAAACAGTGCAATTTATACGTAAATGCATTTATATTCACAGCATCAGGCCACAGTCTTAAGCAAATTTACTTAGACGTTAGCTTCACTAAAATCAATAGTGCTTGCTTACAAATAAACGTGTATAGGATAATGGCGTTAAATATTTAGAAGTCTCCCAAAATAAAATATTTTGCAACCTGCTTTGTGGAAGAGTGAGAACATCATGCTAGCACTGCTTTTCTTGATTGGAGGGGTGGGGTGGGATACAGCAAAAAGGATACTTTGCTCTGAGGGCATTTTGCAGGAGGCCTTCACTTGCATGTAATGGCTTCAAAGACTTTAGTGCAGATATTTAGAGGGAATATTGGGTTATATTTTATAACTGTTCTTATGTTCTTAACTTTATTTCCAGTATGAGGATATGAGAGTCTGCAGGAGATTCTTTGCAGGTCCCAGCATTAATAGAACAGCATTATGTGATACATCTCAATACTTGGTGTTTACATAAGCTTCTAAGATATCCAGAGTGTTTCATATACTGCTTCAGCACTCCTAAGGTGAGATCAGTATTAGGATCCAGTGCTTAGTAGATTGGTAAGGTTAGATCTAAGGTATTGTTCTTTGCTGGCTTTTCATTAAATAAACACTGGAAGGGCTGTGGCTCAGTGGTAGAATGTTTGCTTGGCATGGAGAAGGCTCCAAACTCAATCCCCAACAACTCCAGTTTAAAGGATCAGGTAGTAGGTGACGTGAAAGACTTCAACCTGAGACCCTAGAGAGGTGCTGCCAGTCTGAGTAGGCAATACTTACCTTAATAGACCAATAATCTGATTCTGTATGAAGCAGCTTCCTGTGTGTTCATGTAAACTGTATGCCCAGGGGGTCCTTGAAGGACTATGGTCTCCTTAAAGGTGATATAAATTAGTATGTTTCACTAGCTTAAATCATTTTGCAGTGAAATTTCTTTAAAAAGTCCATAAAACTGAAATGATAACATTAGTTTGATTTGCAAGGGTATTGCTGATAACGTGAGGTCTGATCTTGTACTGGCTTTCAGTAGACCATGGAAGCACCCTCCTCTGATTAGAATTGGGCTTGTAGTTGAAGTATCATGTAACAATTACAGTAGAGTAACTTAATTCACCATCACACAAGTGAAACGGAGCCATTGTGTAAACAGGGGAGAACCGTGTCTTCCGGATGTGGTGTGATAATGCTATTTGTCCTGCAGGTATGTGAGTGGGTTCACTCAAACCACTTTATAATTTTAAAAGATTTGTGTTCATTGCAAATATTGCAGGACTTTAAAAACTTGCATATAAGGATTGTCATTCCTTACCACAAGTAACTATATGTCATTTCAGACAGAACCATTTTAGAACCAGTTCCCTACCGGAATATATTTGTAGCTTCAGACACAAACGCTTCTGTCCCGTTTAGGAAACGGGGCTGAAGCGTTTTACCTGTCAACCGCTTCCAAGTAGTCTTCAGTTTCCTCTCCCGGTTCCAATGCGCTTTTTCCCACCGTTTTTCGCCCGCGCGGGCAATCTCCATTTTTTTTTAAAAAAACGTTCACTTTATAGCGTTATAGCACTATAGCGCTATAACGCTGTAATGAAATAGCAGTATAGCAACGCCATTGGAATGCCTGGAGTGTTTTGTTATAGTGCTATAGCGCTATAAAGCAAACGTTAAAAAAAAAAAGCTAGAGTTCGCCCGCACGGGCGAAAAATGGCGGGGGGAAAGCGCTGCAGTCTGAAATGGCAAAACGCCTTAGATCCAGCTCTTTACTGGAAGGGGAAAGCCATGTGTGAAATGGCAGCCCTATACCGGTTTACTCCATGACAGATCAAAAACAGCTTCAAAACGGGTTAAAAAGGGTAATGTGAAATTCCTCAGTATTTTAGAACCTTCTTTATCCTTAAGTCCCATGTACCTTGCTCTTATGCTATCTCAGTCAAGTGAAACATCCTCTTTTTTATATAAACAAGATGTTAATTTCAGCAGTTTAAATAGCAGATTTTCACATTTTGTCCTAGTGCCCTTTCTTGAGTCAGATTAAAACCTTTTAATTATCTCATAAATGCAGCATGGAGAGAGAGACAATTATAAACAGTTTTGCATGGGGGTGTACACTCTGCCCACATGCTGTGAGAAAGTAACTAATGGGAAAACATGGCAACAAGCCACAGGTCTTCACAACTTGCTTCAAAACTGATGTGTAAGGAACGGAAAGCCTTGTAAAAGAGTGGGGAAGTAGGTTTGCACTTTTGCCTCATAAGACAATCAGGATGCTTCCATGGAGGAATCAGTAATGTCTGGTGTTTTCCTTCCTACAACTGCCTATATTCCCACAACAGAAGTATTAGGATGCATACCAGTGCACCATGTCCCACAGCTCTTGATGTGCACAAGCCTGTTTTATGTGAAAATTCACTGTATATAAGAAATAGAGGCTGTAAAGCCGTGAATGGAGATTACTATTGCTTGTTATAAAAATATTTATGAGCTCCGTAAAACTTTTGACACCTAAACATCAGCTGTCAGCATTTTCTTTGTAGTTATGACAGAGATAGCCAACATTTTATTACTTACATATTTGTATTTCGAATCAGACAATTTTTGTACTAGATTTAAAAAGCAAAATAAAGAAGTAAATTAAAAAAACAACAACATTGCTAGGCATTTACAATAATGTATTCCAGTACTACACAGTTTTGACTCTAGATACTGGCTTTAAAAATGCTTCTTGTGTGAGCATAACCGGAGAATGGGAGGTGTTTTAAATGATTAGTATGCATGCTTTTGTCCATTTGGCAAGAATGTGTTCTTTCCAGAAAATCTGTTCTGCAGTTTTGTAGGTGCTCATATACATAAAAATCAAACTTCAAAGAAAAGGCAAGCTGTTTTCTTTGGGGTTGCGTGCAGTTATTTTACCTACTCTGAAGAGTCTTTCTGAGGGAACTCAGAAATCTAAATCTGTTTTTCTTAGCAAGTTCCCATTCCTACCATATTGAGATTACATGGAGCATTTTAATAGTAGTCTGAGCAGTGGCACAGAATGTTTTTTCCTCAACTAGGGAAACAACACATTTTTAGAAAGGAGAAATGAATTACAGTATGTTGATGGAAGGAATACCACATGCGGATTATTACTTACAAGATTTCATTAGAAAAACAACAGTCAAGTGGTTGAGGCAAGAGAGGAGGAATCATCTAGGGATGGGCACTTTCCAAATTTTGCCCCAGACCAAACTGAACCGAACTGACCCCATTTCTGGACTGGTTCTCGAACTGGACTGTGGCTGGTTTGTGAACCAGTTTGCAGAACAGTCCGAATGCAGAAAAGACCCTTGGGAGGTCCCAGGGTCCCAGACTCTCAGCATAATTCCAGCTCACTCTCCTCGACGTGCCCACCAAGTTTGGTCCCTCTTGGACTTTGGGGGGCTGAGCTGCAGGCCCCCAAAGAGACAATGCTTTTCAATGGGACATCCCTCCCACCAGTACAGGAGTGTGTACGCCAGTGTGAGATAGAGGTCTCCAACTTGCACAGCTAGTCCCTGGGGTGGCCCTCCACATGCCCCACGTCCTGTTCCTGTTGGGTCTGGGGGGT